CATCTTTAGGGTCCTACTATATGCTAGACACTGCACTGATCATCCTTCAGGCATTGTGTTGCTTAATCTTCCTAATGAACTATCAAATGTAGCTCTTCTATCATCATTTTAGAAATGAAGGAGAATCAGGGAAGTTGTGTCATCTGGCCAAAATAAACCAGCCTGATAGCGTCAGAGTTGTGATTGACACCCACACTTGGCTGGTTCCTGAGCTTACCAACAGAAAGCCATCCTGGTCGGCTGGAGCAATACCCTTGCATGTCCTCTCTGGGTCTGAGCGAAGGGTACAGATACGCAGTTTGGATTTGGTTTATCTTACTTTTACTCGATTTCGTTTTATCGTTTAGCTGAGCTTTTCTGTTTGTGTCTCTCCCAAGTGCGTTTTTTCGTTCCCCAAGGGTGGCAGCCACTTGTAGGCAGAGTAAAGCTGAATGAAATGCTCCCCGATCCCAGGCACACAGCTGACTGCTGCGTGTAGTCCCTGGGCCACAGCCCTTCTGCCCCTCCCAGCACCGTGGCTTCCTGGCACCCAGCCCGGACACACTGCCTGCCACGGAGGGAGCTGAGTTCCAGGCTGCTATAGGGTGTGTTCATTCAGAGCGGGCGTGCACAGGCAGCCGCCAGGTCTCCAGTCCAGAGCCGGCAGCTTACATCAAAGGGCAAAGCTGACTCTGGACAGTGATCAAAAGGAATTCTTATCATTCCATGAAGGCTGCTGGCTCTAAGGGACATAGACTGGCTATCCCTGTCCACTGACCAGCACAGACCACCAGTCATCTTCCTCAGAAGATGGAGGGGTGGGGCTACCAAGGTCTTGTCCCTTCCTGGCTGGCCTTGTAAGTCAGTGTTAAGGACTGGGTAGCACTTGGGCCTCTCAGCTATGCCCATATTGGCTGGAAGCCACCAATGCCAGCGAGTGACAAGGTCCAGAGGCTGTGCTTGGTGTGACAGAGAGCAGACATAATCTCTTCTGCCTCTGCGAGATTCTGCCTGCTCTTTCATTAATTTTTTGGACTAAAGCTAATGGAGAATAGTGTACTGTTTGTCTATTCATATATCCAGAAAAAATATTTTCATCCTAAAATAAGCCCTGCACAGGTATAAAAAGTAAATCATTAATAGTCCTCCCTAAACTCATAAACTGAAGTGTCTTTAGTAATAATGTTCACTATGTATCATGTGTCATATCAGGTTTCTCTTTGTTTTTAATTTACTTTTTTATTTTTTCTTATATATTAATTTTATTGAGAAAGAAATAGCAATGAGACAGTTTCAAAACAGGTTAGTAGGATGGTTACAATAATTAATACATTACATATTGTTGTCTTTGTAGTTATTCATGGTACAAGATTCAGACATGATATCTTGTCTAAACACTATTAGCTCAAAACTTTCTTCTCATTAAACTAAGAGAAAGTAGCTATATATCTGTGCTATTATATATATACAGATTTATATATTTTTTTCACGACAAAATGGTCCTCATTTATATCCCCTTTTTTGTTTACTTTTGTCAGAGATGGATATTCCATTGCCATTCATATATTGTAGGTGCATGAATTCAGCAAAGTAATCCAATATAGTCCAGTAGTCTGTAATAGCAGTGGGTTATCCGCAGGACTGGCAATGTCAGTTGTTGACTTGAGCCTTTTATAGCTCCATTTGAGGTTTTTTACAAAGACTAAATCATTCAGTTTTCACAAAAGCCCTATGTAATCAGCACTCTTATCATCCTCGTTACATCGATGAACTTTCAGCATATAATGTGTTTATGGGATTTCCATTACCATGATAAAACGACTGAGCACACAAATGAAAAAGAGGAAAAGTTTCTTTTGGCTCCTGGTTTCAGAGGCTCCCATCCACAGTTGGTGGGCTCCACCATCCATGGCCAGGCAGCAGGGTCACAGCATGGAGTACATAGCAGAGCTCTCCGCCTCACCTGGGGATGCAGACTGGGAGGAGGAAGGCTGAGTCCCAGCGTCCCCTGCAAGGCCACATCCGCAGTGACCCCCTTCCTCCTAGGCTCCACTGGCAAGAGGTTCTACCACCATTCATAGTGGCACAGCCTTTTAATACATGGTCCCAAGAGGACCATGTATTAAATTTCAGATCCAGGGTAAATTTCTTACCCACACCCACGCAATTTGTAAGTGGCAGAGCTGGGACCCAAACCTCATCGCTGGCTGTAAATTTCACCCTCTCCTTGAGTACTGAACTGTTCTGCTTCTGACTATAGTCTTGCAACTTAGCAGTGCTATTTAATCGTCACAACAGCCTTATGGCACAGCATTTTATCAGCAGCTAACAGAGGCAAGGACAACCTGAAGGACAACTTATTTGTGGGCTCCCTTTTCTTGGTTTCTATTATTTTCATCTTTTTTAAAAAAATGTATTTAGTACAGAGTCTACAGGGTCTTACTACACAGATTGGACTCATAGTTATCCTCCTGTTTTCAGCCTCCCAAGCACTGGGATTACAGGTGCACGCCACCACACCCCGTCTCAGCACACCCTAGGAGCAGGAGCCCGGCACAGCACACCTGGGATCGAACCCCCTGTCCCTGCTATCTGGGATCTGCTATCTTGGTCTGCTGAGCTATCTGGCCGGCCCTTGTTATCTTCAAATTTAGTCCAAAATGTTAAATGGAAAATTCCAGAAATAAACTATTTGTTTTAAATTACATGCCTTCCAAGTAGCATGATGAACTCTGACGGCGTCTGTCCTATCCCTTTGTCCAGTGTATCCACGATGTATGCCTACCAGCCCACTAGTCATTTAATAGCCTTTAGGCTGGCAGATTCATTGTCAGGGTATCTGAGCCTGATGCTCAAGGGACACTTATTTAACAGTGGCCTCAAAGTGCAAGAACCGTGCCGCTAGTAGTTCAGATACACCAAAGAGACACTGTGAAGTTCTTCCTTTAGGTGAAAAGGTAAGATTATTTCATGAGAACACATTCATGTAATGATTATGGTCTATTGTTACCATTCTTTTATTATCAGTCATTTTTTATATATATTTTTTA